CCATCTCACCCGGCTCCCCTCTTCCACAGAGTCCTGTCTTTTCCTTCTCACCGGAGCCCGGAGCCGGAGATGAGGCTCGGGGCGGGGGCTCCCCGACTTCCAAAACGCAGACGCTGCCTTCTCGTGGCCCCAGGGGTGGGGGTGCCGGGGAGCAGCCTCCGCCCCCCAGTGCCCGCTCCACACCCCTGCCTGGCCCCCCAGGCTCCCCGCGCTCCTCTGGGGGCACCCCCTTGCATTCACCCCTGCACACGCCCCGGGCCAGCCCCACTGGGACGCCAGGAACAACGCCACCCCCAAGCCCCGGCGGTGGCGTCGGGGGAGCTGCCTGGAGGAGTCGTCTCAACTCCATCCGCAACAGTTTCCTGGGTTCCCCTCGCTTTCACCGGCGCAAGATGCAGGGTACGGGGTCCCCCAAGGTGCAAGGGCTGGGGGCCTAGATTCCCGTGTGGTGTGAGAAGATGGGGCTGGGAGTAGAAATTCAGGTGTTGGGGACAGGGGGTGTGGCTTCCAGCGCTGGAGGAAGGAGGAGCCTCTCTGAAGGACACCTCCATTCAGTGCCTTGGCTCATCTTCCCATTGGCTCGTGGCGAGCAAGTTCCGCCCTCGGAGGGCGTGGTCTACCTGGGGTGGGCCGGCATCCCCGGCAGGACCACCAGGTAGCATGCCATGTGGGCTTTAGCTACTGGGAGGTGAATGGGCACTGGGATCTGGCACCTCTAGTTGGAGGGGACTCCTGGCCCGCGTGCTGGACCCAGGGTGATGGGCAAGTGTTAACCATACTCTCCCCTCTCTCCCTCTCTCACCGCACGCCAGTCCCCACTGCCGAGGAGATGTCCAGCTTGACACCAGAGTCCTCTCCAGAGTGAGTCTGACAGGGAAGGGAAGCCAGAGGTTGGAGGGAGGGATTTATTCCTTGAGCCCCCTCCTGACCCACCTCCAACCCTCCCCTTTCACTCAGGTTGGCAAAACGCTCCTGGTTTGGGAACTTCATCTCCTTGGACAAAGAAGAACAAATATTCCTTGTGCTGAAGGACAAACCTCTCAGCAGCATCAAAGCGGACATCGTCCATGCCTTCCTGTCGGTGAGGGGCCTGGGTCTCCCTGTGTCCTGGCCAGCACAGGACTACAAATCCCAGCATCCCCTGGAGTCTGCCTCTGCTCCGGCCTGACTTCCTCCTGAGGCTCATGGGATCTGTAGTTTTCCGTTCAGAGTTGGGTTGGGTCACTGTAGGGGCAGGAAGGTGGAGAGGTTTACTGGACCCTGGGGCCTGGAGATGGTGCAAAGGACACCTCCCTAGCGTATTAGTGAGTTGCCATTCCCTGACCACCAGGTCTGAGATTAGCAGACAGAATCGCTTTTTCCCCCGAGGACCTCTGGGTTTTTGCTCTAGGAGCTAACGGGACTTACAGGTTCTTACACATATGTGGCAATGCTCACGGAGGCAGAGAAGTTTGTGTCATGTAATTCTGGAGCCGGAGGCTGACCCCTAGATGTGACAGGTCCTGTTACCAGCCATTCCTCTGATGCCGTTTATAGTGGGACAAGAAAACTACAAGTCCCAGCAGGCAATGGGGGCTCCCAATGGCTTTCCTGTTATTCTTTCCCCCTAGTGGCTGATGGAACTTGTAGTTCCTTGGTCAGAGGTCTTTGTGGGGTTGGCTATCCAGTCCCTGGAATCAGGTCACTGGAATCACCCCCTCCTTTTGTCCCCTGCCTGTCTCAGATCCCCAGCCTGAGTCATAGTGTGCTGTCACAGACCAGCTTCAGGGCCGAGTACAAGGCCAGTGGTGGCCCATCCGTCTTCCAGAAGCCCGTCCGATTCCAGGTGGACATCAGCTCCTCAGAGGGCCCAGAGCCTTCCCCACGACGGGATGGCAGTGGCGGTGGTGGCATCTACTCGGTCACCTTTACGCTCATCTCCGGTAAGCTTCCCTCGGCGAGAGACTGCCTCCACCCTGGTGTGTGGAATGCTCAAGACCGCTGAGCTGGGAGAGTGGCCCCAGAGGGCAGCAGGAGGGAGGAGGAGATGGTGCTCAGCTAGCGCTGACCCTATGAGCCCCCTCCTCATTCAGACCCCTGCATTCTGTCCTTCCCCCTTCTCTCATTGACATTTCATGGATTTTTTTTTTTTTTTAAGATTTTATTTATTGGGACGCCTGGGTGGCTCAGTGGGTTAAGCTGCTGGCTTCGGCTCATGTCATGATCCCAGGGTCCTGGGATCGAGTCCCGCATCGGGCTCCTTGCTCAGCAGGGAGCCTGCCTCTCTCTCCGCCTCTGCCTGCCTCTCTGCCTGCTTGTGTGCTTTCTCTCTCTCTCTTTCTGACAAATAAATAAATAAAATCTTAAAAAAAAAAAAGATTTTATTTATTTATTTGGAAGAAAAACAGGTCACAAGTCAGGGAGAGGAGCAAAGGGAGAAGCAGACTCCCCACTGAGCAAAAGCCCAATGCGGGGCTTGATCTCAGGACCCTGGGATCATGACCTGAGCCAAAGGCAGACACTTAGTGGACTGAGCCACCCAGGTGCCCCTTCATGGACATTTATGATGTTTCACGTGCTTTACGTGCATTGTTACATTGACGCTTCCCAGAGGCCTTTGAGGTATTAGTGCTCACCCACTTTACAGAAGAGAAAACAGAGTCCTATTGAGGCAAATTGACTTGACACAGTCCCACTGCAAACTGACGAAGCTGGGCTCAACCTAGCCCTGCTGACCTTGAAGTGCAGAGCTGACTGTACAGCCGAAGGGCAGACGGGGCTCTCTGCCATCGCGTGTCATTCCCGCACCCAGAGCAGACAGCACCGGGTGATCATGGCACTTCTTCCTGCTGGGCTCAGCGGCAGCCTCAGAAATTACAGGCAGCCATGGCCAATCAGGAGTCGGCACCGGAGACCGGAGCCACAGAAATGTCTTGCTGCCAGTCCAGCTTGGTTCCTGAGCCATGATAGCGAGTCCGAATAACAAGAGACACTTCTGTCTGCTACCCTTGTTAGCAGTCTTAAATGTCACAGTGACCAGCCTGCCACAATGTTACCCCTAAGATAAAATAAGTTGCATTTTTCCCCCTTTCCTTTAAAGGCTAATAGGCAGGACTTCCTCAATTTTAAGATTTCTTTTAACTTCCTGTTTATTTTTCTTATATTTCTGGCTCTTCGTGGCCTCAGCTAGAAACTAACACGATAAATAGAAAGGCACACCCATCATTATTTTAACTCCAATCTTTCTCATCCCATTTGCAAATCGCAGGTCTATGCCTAGTCCCAACACAGGGCCGGAAATTGAGCCCAAGAGGAAGCGAGTCCTTTGCTGGTTTCCACGGGGTGGGAGGGCCTTTTCTGTCTCTGTCCCCAAGTCAGCCCATCTCCTTCCCCTCCAGGTCCCAGCCGTCGGTTCAAGCGAGTGGTGGAGACCATCCAGGCGCAGCTGCTGAGCACTCACGACCAGCCCTCCGTGCAGGCCCTGGCAGGTGGGCGGCGTCCGAAGCCGTGGGGCCCTCCTTTATCCTGTGGGCCGGAGGGGCGACCTGCTGAGCAAGGGCCCCAAGGCTTTGGTCCATGGCGAGGATCACAGATTCTCAGAGAGGCTGGGGCCTGAGCTCCGTCCAGGGCATGGGCTATCCCGACCTGAGAAGCCCTTGTGGCCAGGGAGGGCACCTCCAGGGACCCCCAGAGGATGCCAAGTCTCTGTGTGGGGTTGTGGAACTTCCTGCTAACGAAGGTTCTGGAACAGTGTTCTAGAGAAGGGCAAGCAGCCCTCCGGGTTTGTTCGGATCCCCCAAACAACCCCCTGTGCCCTTTCGCTAAGGAGCTAAGGGCTCCCCTGTGCCCTTTCGCTAAGGAGCATTCCCCTAACAACCAGGGTAGCAGAAGGAGACCTTTGGCCGTGACCTGGGGACTCAAATGAGATCTGCTGCTGTGACAAGCTGTCCCTTAGCGAATAATGTCATAGCCAGAGTCTGTGACAGTGCCCCTGGAGTCAGGCCTCTGGGTCTCACTGGGACTAACTTGGCCCGGTTTCCAAAGCCAAGAGGGTTGGAGGGGTCCAGGATGTATGACCTGCTGTCCGTGACCTTGCTGGGTCTGGTTGCAAATGGGTGTCCTCCTGGCAGCCGTCCCCCCAGGCTTCCAGCCCCGGGACGGAGGCCCTTGGCCTCACCACGATGTTGCTGGAACATGTTCCTTGGGGTTCAGCAGCCTCGAGGTTCCTGACGCCGCACTGCTTCCTCCTCCACAGATGAGAAGAACGGGGCCCAGACTCGGCCTGCTGGCACCCCACCGAGAAGCCTACAGCCCCAAGCCGGCCGCCCAGACCCAGAGCTGACCAGCTCTCCCCGCCGAGGCCCTGCTAAGGACAAGAAGCTCCTGGCCACCAATGGGACCCCTCTGCCCTGACCCCAGGGGGCCGGGGAAGGAGGGGAGCCCCCTCCACCCCCCTTCCCTGCCCCCCCAACTGTGAATCTGTAAATAGGGCCCATGGAGTATGTAGGGAGGGGAGAGACACAACAAACCCGGCCTTGCCCTGCAGGGATGGGGCTCAGGGGGCCGTGCCCAATGGGGGGTGGTTCTAGGGGGGACTGAGGGCGGGGGAGCTGTTTCTATTTTATTTATTGATTAATTTATTATTTTATTTATTGATCAATCTCTCTGCGGGGTGGGGTGGGGGAGGGACGGGGGCTGGTTGGGGTGGCTTAGCAGATCCGGACAGAGAAGGCCATCTGTCCTTGTGTCCCCAACTCCTCCTTCCCAGGCCCCCCCTTCCCCGGTTCTCCCCCTTCCCTCACAACCTTCTGTACGGATTTGCTCTCCGGAAGGAATTCTGGTTTCGCGTGACCCTGCCTGCGTCCGTGTCTCTGATTCCGCCGGCGGCAAAAAAAAAAAAAAAAGAAAAAAGGAAATTAATAATAATAATAATAAATAGCCTTGAGCAGGGATGGCTGGCTGGCCTTGACCTCTCACTTCCTGGGTGGCCCTGATGGCAGCACGGAGGGAGGGGCCCAGACCTCATCACCCGGCCTGCTGTTCACAGGTGGATCTGCAGGGAGGTGGGGGAGGCCGGCGGGGAGCTGAGGCGGCCCGGCTGGAGGTGCAGGGTGCAGCCGTCCAGGCAGGAAAAGTCCGCCGCAAACAGGCCGAAGAGTGCAAACAGCAGCATGGCGATGGCCCACTCACAGGCGGCGGAGGCCGAGCGCAGCGGCCAGAAGTGGAGGATCATCACTTTACAGCAAGGTCAAGGGCCACACGCAGCAGGAAGGATCCGGGAGCCCAGCCGGATCACCAGGGCCGGGCGCCCTCTCACGACGCAGCTGCCCCGCCCCGGCCGGAGCCCCGCCCTGGCCGGAATGGCGTCTGGCAGGCCACCCACCTCTGCGGCTCCCAGGCGCGGTAGCGCAGATGCCCTCCTCCCAGGCTAAGACTGTTTCCCACACGTTCGTCCTGCTCGGACTCGCCCTCCAGGTGCCCCCTGAAATCCTTTTCACCTGCGAGCCCACACTCACTCCAAGCTCAAACTAGCAGAGAGGCCCTCGGCTTTCTGAGATCCCTCCCGGCAACAGCCTTCCTGCTTCTCAGCCAAGCCAGCGCCCACTCCCTCCTAGATCAGTTCAGACACTATTTCATTCATCCAAGGATTTTTAGGCAGTCCATAAGGTGACATCACCCCTGATCCCATGAATCCTAGAGCAAAGGAGAGGTGAGAGCACCCACACAAGGGGGTTACCCCCAGAATTGGCTTTGGTCCTCCCCCAATCATAAGCTTCCCATGGCTCCCTACTGCCCCCAGGAAGAAACCGGTCTCCCGGTAGGCTCTTCTGAGCACCAGCAGCCTTCTGGCCTCCCCTCTGTTATCCCCAAGGAGGAGATGGGTCCCTAACGCTACGTTTGTAGCCTCTCCTCTCTCAGGGCACTTTGCCAGTAACAACCATTATTAAGATCAAAACAACTCCGTTTGACAGATACGGAAACTGAAGCACAGTGATTTGAGTCACCCAGAGGCATGCTAGGTTGGCAAAGAGCATCTGGGCTCCCGTGACTCAGAACTGGGTTGGGTAGGATCTTCAGCCAGTGCCAGGCATGCTGGTGAATGGTTAACGACCAGCCTTGATTCGCTGCCTTGGCCAGTTTCTGGGCTGTGAACACTCCCACCAAGGCCAGCGGGAGCTGCTAACAGGACAGAACCAAACAAGGAGTGGGGCCTGCGCAAGCTGCCTCCTTCCCATCCACCACCAGCGCCACCACTAGACTCCGCGACACGTCTTGGCCAAGAGACTCCCCCTCTCTGAACCTCAGTTTCCGGTCGTCAACATGATGCCCGCCTGGGGCGGGGCAGGTACCCCGAACAGACTGCCGCCGCTGGCTTGCCGTCCTCCCAGTATTTCTTGGTGGCTCACTGCATTGGTCACCGAGCTAAGTACCTCACGTGCATTACTCCCTTCGTTCCTTCCAGCTCTGGGGGCAGCCTTGTTATCATCCACACTGGAGAGCTGCAGGAGCTGAGACACTGAGTTCAGCCCGTGGAGTCCCTCCCCCACCAACACCCAGCTAGCGTGCAGGGGAGGTGGACTTCAGCCCAGGGTGCCCGTCCCCAAGGCTGACACTTCCCGGGATGCTATCATCCCCAGAAGACTGAGGGCGAGAACAGACTGCACGGAGCCGAACCACCCCAGTGGAGGACCCCCCCCCAACCCCTGCCACCGGCCCCAGGAAGGATACTGGTCACCAAGAGGATGGTGCAGAGGCTGCAGAGGCCCAGACGGAGTGGCCCGACCCAGGGGGCCCCGGGCTGGGGCAGCCTCCGCGTGCACCAGACAAGAATAAGCTGCAGCCAAAAGTAGGAGTTGCCCATGAATAAGGCGAAGAAGGCCCCGACCAGGTGCATGTGCAGCTGGTTCTTTTGCTGGGAAGAAAAGGGACAAGAATTGAAAGGAAGGTAGATACACACAGGTGGGGGGTGAGGGGCAGTGACATGAGGACTGTGATGGGGGGGGTCCTTGACCCACCCAGCAGGTTGGTGCGGCCTCGCTCCAGAATACGGGGCCTGGCACATTGTAGGCGCTCAGTAAATATTAGTGCAATAAAATCTCTCGTTCTCAGCTGGGGTGGTGGAGGGCTGATATTGCCACCCAGGGGCTGAAAAATTGGTTTTGGAAGTTCTTAAAGATTGCAATGGTTTGTGGCTTGCAGATACATAGTGTATGTCATTTAATATTTTCTAAATATTAAAAGTTTAATGAGGGGAAACGATGACCAGTGGGAAATGTCTTTAGAAGGCTCCTTACGGGAGCAATATAATAATTTTAAGAAGAGGGGCGCCTGGGTGACTCAGCCGGTTGGTTGACCGTCTGCCTTCGGCGGAGATCATGGTCTGATCCATGATGAAGGTCCAGGGATGAAGTGCTGCATCAGGCTCCCCGCTCAGCAGGGAGTCTGCTTCTCCTTCTACCCCTCCCCCTTGCCCATGATCTTGCTCTCAAAAAGATAAAAATCTTTAAAAAAATTTTTTTTAAGAAGTTAAAGTTGAGGGACGCCTGGGTGGCTCAGTTGGTTAAGCAGCTGCCTTCGGCTCAGGTCATGATCCCAGCGTCCTGGGATCGAGTCCCACATCGGGCTCCTTGCTCAGCAGGGAGCCTGCTTCTCCCTCTGCCTCTGCCTGCCATTCTGTCTGCCTGTGCTTGCTCTCTCTCCCTCTCTCTCTCTCTGACAAATTAAAAAAAAAAAAAAAAAATTTTAAAAAAAAAAAAAAAAAGAAGTTAAAGTTGAGGAGCCCAGGAATAAACGATAGGTGATGGGGAACGATGGGTGATGGGGAGCGATGAGTTATGGGGAATTTTTCTTAGCAAGCAGAAGGCAGTCTCTTAGCCCGTGGTATTTTCATCAGGAGCAGTTAGGAGTCAGAGGCGCCATGGAAAAATTAAATATCAATATACAATTATCAACAGACTCTCTCCAATCATTGTCCCTTCTTTTGTTCTACAAATATCTACTGAACCTCAAGGTGAACAGTGCAAGTTCTAGAGTCTGAATCTGGGTTCATTTCTGACCACCACGAACCAGCTGGTTAATACAAAAACAAAAACAAAAAATAAAAAAACCCTCTGTCGGATTTGACCGAAAGGGTCTGTCTAGGGCTGTTACGGAGACGTATGAAAACCTACACAGGGTAAAGCCTAGCGCCCCGAGTGAACGCTCCATCTAAGTGGCGAGAACGAGCGGCTCTGAGTAATTTCATTATTAAAAGGGCAAAGGGGTAAGGGACGGCAGTAAATTGCCCCAGTCTTCTGGGGTTCCGTGAATAATTACACCAAGGCCTCCCACGGGGGCCTCGGTCCAGACCGCAGAGGAGCTCACCTCCCTCCCTGGCCCAAGGACCGCAGAGAAATACAAGTCCCAGAAGGCCGTGCGCGGGCGAGCCCCCACAATGAGAAGCCAGCGGCCCCGGGGGCTGCTGGGAGCTGTAGTCCCGGACTCGGGCTCGTCGGCCTGCCTGGCTGCGTCCCACGAACCGATGCCTTCTCACCTGGAAGTTGCCCACCACGGAGGTGCCCAGGGCACACAGGAGCCCCGTCCACAGGATCAGCCGGTTAAACCATTTTCCGACTCCCCAGTCCCGGAGCTGGTGGTAACGGATAATGCAGATCCAGGCGGCTGGGAGGAGAGGGAAGTGGGCGGGTAAGCCGGCCCGGACTCCTGGGGAGGGGGTGCGACTCCTGGGGAGGGGGTGCGGAGAGACTGGGCGTCTAGGGGTGGGGGCCTAACTCCCACATCTGGAGGAGAGGTGGAGGCTTGGATCCCTGGCGCCGGGGCCGGGGCGGGGGCCCCCTTGGCTGGGGTGGGGTGGGAGTAGGGGTGGGGGTAGGGGTGAAGGTAGGGGTGAAGGTGGGGGTGGGGTTCTCCCCAGAACAGGAAGGGCTGAGGATATTTACCCATAGCAGCTCCCATGTTGAGCAGCTGGCTGAAGATGCAGCTCTGAGGGGGGTAAGACCCGCAGAGGCTGGGGGAAAGGAAGGATCGTCCTGTGGCTCCTCGGAGCCAGGCCACCTCTTCTCCCTCGGAACCCCCGCCCCGCCAGCACCATAACTACCTGATATAGGGGAAACCTTCCGTGAGGTTCACAGACCTGTTGGTCACGGCAAGGGCAAAACTGAAGTACAGGGAGACACCAAAGTGGTTTTTAACAACAGCTTTTCCTTTTGTTACCCACAGAAACAAGGACTTCTAACTGCCCCCACTTCAGACCCAGAAGTCCAGGCCCCCAGCCCCTCCTCACTCAGACCCAAGATTCCAGGCCCCCAGTCCCTCCTCCCTCAGACCCAGGAGTCCAGACCCCCAGCCCCTCCTCCATCAGACCCAGGAGTCCAGAACCCCAGTCCCTCCTCCCTCAGACCCAGGGTTCTCCTGCTTCTAACACTCACACACTCCAGACTCCAGTGATAGCGGAAAAGGCCAGGAAAGCCGGCAGCACAGACAGGTAACCCCACATGCCGGGCTCTGCAGGGGAAGGAGAGGGACCACAAACCTTTCTCTCTCTCTCTCTCTCAGGTGAGGAATCTGCCCTGTGGGTCCAGGTGCATCTGAAGGTGGCCTCCCAGCTCTGAGCCCCTCCAGCTCTGAGGCCCCCGTTGGCTCCCAGGGCAGAAACAGTGGATGAGGCTCTGGTCTGCTGAGACCAGCTCTCTGCCTGCGGCGCTCTCCATCCTGTAACAGCTGTCTTCCCATCCTGACCTCCCAGTTTTATCAGACTGGCCTCCCTCAACCCAGCTTCAGAGCCTCTCCCAGCCAGCCTCTGGGCTTCCCCAGAATGCTCACCTGTCGGAACTTTCTTCTCGCTCTCCCGGTCCTGGGCCCGGGGCTGTGAGAGAGGTTGGAAAAGGAGAGGGGACGTGGGGTAGGGCTTGGGCGGTGTCGTGGCAGAGCCAAAGTCCAAGCTGCGGAGCAGTCTGACCGCCTGACCGTCCAACCCGCCACTGTGTTCGGGACCTAACCCTGCACCACCACTTCCCCTCTCAGAACCTAGCAGGGAGCACCTTACTTAGCTTCAAGGGGCCCGCAACTTCCTTCCTTCAGCTTTAAAAGTTCAATGTCCAAGTGCCCAGCCCGTGTCCTCCCCAGGACCCAGAATCTGAGCCTCTAGCTCTCTCCACCCTTCCTCCCTTGGGGACCCAGAAGTTCAGGCCCCCAGTCCCTTCTACAATTCCTGCATTTGGTTCTAGCCCCTGGGGTCCAGCCTCCTAGCTCTTACCTTCTCTGGGGCCCCAGAATCCAGGCCCACAGGTCAGACTCCTTCCTGGGTGCAGTTTGTGTCCTTAGGCTGTTGGGGATGGGGCTGTGGTGACCCTGCCTCCTCCTCTCACTTGCCGTCCCCTCTCCCTTCCTCTGGGCCAGCTCCTGGAATTCCCCAGTGGGCAGGCTCAGGGTGGGAAGGGAGGCCTTGGTGTCGAAATTGCCATCCAATGAGGCTTCCGCCAAAAGCAATTGCTTCCTCTGACCTGATCATATTTTTCTGTATGTCACATAGCAACCCTCGTCTTGCTGGTTTCCTCCCCTCTTGGTAATCAGACATTTGGGCCCCAGCCTCCTCCAGCTTCCCCTGGACCCGGGAGCCCAGGCCCCCAGTCCCTCCTCCCTCAGACTCAGGAGTCCAGACCCCAGCCCCCTCCTCCCTCAGACCCAGGAGTCCAGACCCTCAGCCCCTCCTCCCTCAGACCCAGGAGTCCAGACCCCAGCCCCCTCCTCCCTCAGACCCAGGAGTCCAGACCCCAGCCCCCTCCTCCCTCAGACCCAGGAGTCCAGACCCCAGCCCCCTCCTCCCTCAGACCCAGGAGTCCAGACCCCAGCCCCCTCCTCCCTCAGACCCAGGAGTCCAGGCCCCCAGTCCCTCCTCCCTCAGACCTAGAAGTTCCAGCTCCCTTCTCCCTCAGCAGCCCACCTCTTTTTTTTTTCAATTTGTGGTAAAATTCAGAAAACAAAAGTGAACAGTGGCATTTGGTACAGTGCCAGGGTCATGCAACTATCACGTTATTTATCTCCAGAACTTTCTCCTCACCCCCAAAGAAACCCTGTACCCACCAAGTGTAGGCACTCCCATTCGCTCCTGTCCCCAGCCCCTGGCCACCTCCAGACTGCTTTCTGTCTCCGTGGATTTGTTAATTCTGGACGTTTCACCCACGCTGAGTCTCATCCGCGTCTCACCAGCACTTCAGCCCCTCCCCGGGCCGGAGAGAATTCCACTAACCCTATGTCTTTGGGGACTCAGACGTCTGAACCCACCTTTTCTCCCTGTGATCCTGCGTTTCCATGGCCACAGCAGCGAGGACTTGAGGCTGTCGGCTTCCTGGAGAGTGCAGATGAGATGGTGCAGGTGCAGACACACAGACGTGGCACAGCCAGCCAGCAGCGGAGCCAGGGTCTCACCCCTGCCCACAGTGGCTTCCCAGGCTGGAAGGCGGCCAGTCTTGGACCCGAAAATTAGAATACAGGTGTTATAGTGAAGGTGACACGAGGCATGGTGGCTAACTAGCCATGGTGGCTAACTAGCCACGGTGTCTGGCGCATACTGGTGGTGAGGGAAGGCCTGGAAAGTCTCACAAGCCATACTTAGGAGGAGGGAGAGTGAGAGTGTGCAGGCTGCAGGAACGCTTTCTCAGAAGAGTTCAGGGGGCCACCAAAACCTGGCCTGTGGGGGTCGGGTGCCTTTGTCTGCTGGGTTACCAGAAGACCTGAGCTAGGCCCCAGAGTCTGCATTGCCGTAAAGGGCTTGGTCATTATCCTGAGGGTACTGCGGAGCCATGGAAGGTTCTTGAGCAGAAAAGACCGAAAGGAACTAACACCGTGTGTAGACAGGAAGGAGGTACAATAATAATAAGCATTAAAATATCTACAGTGCCAGGCACTGCCCAGCAACCCTGGAGGGGTTGGATCTGGAATAATGGAAGATTCACCCTTCCAGACAATATCAGAAGATCCAGAGTTTTCAAATCCCAAGACTTGAGTTCAAATCCCATCTCTGCCACCTAGGAGCTGGACGCCCGCATGAGCTTTCAGAGGCTGCTCTAAGAAAGTACCCCAAATTTCATGGCCTAAGGCAACACAAATTTAGGGGCACCCGGGTGGCTCAATGGGTTAAGTGTGTGGCTTCAGCTCCAGTCATGATCCCAGGGTCCTGGGATTGAGTCCAGCATCGGACTCCTTGCTCAGCAGGAAGCCTCTCCCTGAGCCTGCTGCTCCCCCTGCTTGTGCTTTTTGTGTCAACAAGAAAAAAAAAAAATCTTAAAAAAAAATCCTTAATTGAATATATGTGCAAAGTCGTTTTTGCTGCATAAGGTGCCCTAGTCACATGTCCTGGAGAGGAAGGCGTAGACATTTTGGGGACCACTATGCTGTCTCCCACAGGGTCCCTGGATTGGGGACTTCATTTTCTTCAATCTGTAAGATAGAGCTCGCAGCATGGCTCTGGAGACGGACTTCCTGCTGGTAACAAGGAAATTACGAGCGAAGAGTCCCAGTCAGCAAAACAGGACTTAAATCTAACCTAAGAGCGGCTTCAGCCTCCCCGCCCCCTCCACACCGCCACCCCGCCCCACCAAAGATAGTTAACATTCACCTAGCCCACCTGGAGTGCCCTGGTTAGCACTAGGAAATGCACGCAGAGACCCTTCCATTCCCCTGCGGAGGGCAGCCTCGCCTCGAAACAATGCATTCTTCGCTAAGAATTTTCTTTTCTGCTCCCTAGGGACCTTTAAAGACCATTCCTTTTTGGGGGCGCCTGCGTGGCTCAGCAGGTTAAGTGTGTGCCTTCAGCTCAGGTCATGAGCCCTGTATACTCTGGGCTACTTTCAATTTGGAAATAGACCCCTACCACTGTGCAGGCTTGCGGGGGGGGGGGGGCGCCCCTCTGGACTCTTCCAGATCCTTCTGGAAACATGTGGTTGCCGGTGGGCTCCTCCGAGGGGAGGAAGCTGCACATGGCCTTCCTCCGTGTGACATGATACTTAACTTCCACGTGTAGGAAACCATGTCTGGTTCGTTGTGAGGACGTTTTTTCCCAGAGAGGGGAAGCTGCCCGCGCAGCGGATCTCTGTTTTGTCACCTGTCAAAGCAAGGATCCTAAGGGTGCCCCCGTCACATGCCTGTGAAGGTTCAGGAGGGAGCCCGCGGGGGTACGAACATTTTGGGGTCCCCCGAGTCACCGTACTTCTGAGAAGTTGTGCCACTTCGTGGAGTAGATGCTTGGCATTCAGGGCATCTTGCTGTGTTATCTGGTGCTGGAGATGTTGCAATGGTGTTTGCAATACAAGGGATTTACTGGGGGGGGTGGCGATGCCAGGAGAGATAAAGGGGAGAGGGAACAGGGCTGGGCCAGGAAGTGGGTGGGCCACCTTTGGAAGAAGAGGGGGAAGGGAGGTGTGGGTAAGAAGAGCCTTCCAAGAAATCTCAGCCAGCCAACAGGGCAGGGGAATCGCAAGGATTTCTTCTCACAGATCAGTAGAAACAGAAAGTAGACTGGTGGTTACCAGGGGCTGGAGGGAGGGGTGGATGGGGAGTGACTGCTTAATCCCCTCTTTTTGGGGTGGTGAAAATGTCTTGGAAGCAGATAGAGGATGGGCGGTTGCACAACAACGGTACTAAATGCCTCTGGATTATACCCCTTAAAATGGTTAAAGTGGTGAATTTTGTGGTGTGTGAATTTTACTTCAGTTATAAAAGAAAAAGGGGCGCGTGGGTGGCTCAGTAGGTTAAGGGTCTGACTCTTGATTTCAGCACCAGTCACGATCTCAGGATCAGGAGGTAGAGCTCCGCAGGGACTCTGCTTCTCTCTATCTTCCTCTTCCTCTGCTCCTCCCCCACTCCTTGCACATGTGCTCACTCGGGCGTGTGCTCTTTCTCTCTCTCTCTCTCTCAAAATGAATAAAATCTTAGGGTGCCTGGGTGGCTCAGTCACTTAAGCCTTCAGCTCCGGTCATGAATCTGGAGTCCTGGGATGGAGCCCCCATCTGGCTCCCTGCTCAGCAGGGGAGCCCGCTCCTTTCACTTCCCCTGCTTGTGTGCACTCTCCCTCTCTCTCAAATAAATAAAATCTTGAAAGAAAGAAAGAAAGAAAGAAAGAAAGAAAGAAAGAAAGAAAGAAAGAAAGAAAAAATACCTTTGGAGGAGCCACATTAGGTGGGAACGACCAGGCCCTAGTACCCCCCCATCCCCACCTGTGATGCTTAGTCATGGTTGGGGGCTGCCAGAAAAGAACATGACCTTGATCCAAACAAAATAGTAGTTACCGGTGCTGCACCTTGGGTCTGTCCACCAAAGGTGCTCTTCAGGGCTAATTAAGTTCTTTCTTCCAGAGAGTTCCACCCTGGCTACTGCACAGGCCCAGTATCACTCAGCTACTGACTGGAGGAGCTGGGGCCAGAGCACAGATCTGTTTGATTCCAAAATTTGGTTCTTTCCCATATTTTCATTCTCCTTAAATCTCCCAACACACCATCTCCCTTCTCATTCCCAGTCCATGAACATGGTATGTATCTCGCTGTTTTAGATCTTCTTTAAGATCTCTCAATAATGTTTTACAGATTTTTCTTGAAGTAGTTTTGGATACCTTTCATTCAATTTATTTCCCCTTACTGGATATTTGTAACAACTATTGTAATCCAAACTGGTTCAATTTTAATTTTAGAACTTAGTTTGTTGTACAAAAAATGGTTAATACAGCATATCTGAATCAGCTATCATGCTTGCAAGGTTTGCCTTGGCCTGGTGTCTGCGGAATTGGCTGTTGAACTATTCTGAGGGCCTGGATTGTTTGTGCTAACCCTGTGGTAATGCTGAATGCCTGCTTTCCTTCTGGGAGTCTGGGATTTTTGTGCCTTCTACGCAGACAGTGTTTGAATGATTAGTCAGCAATAAAAACCTTGGGTGCTGAGTCTCTAATGGGCTCCCTTGGGCAAAAACATCACACATTTTGCTGCATTTTTTAAAAAGACTTTATTTACTTATTTCACAGAGAGAGAGAATAAGCAGGAGAGCCTCAGGCAGAGGGAGAGGGAGAAGCAGGCTCCCCACTGAGCAAGGAGTACAATACCAGGCTCTATCCCAGGACCCTGGGATCATGACCTGAGCCAAAGGCAGATGCCCACCAACTGAGCCAACCAGACGCCCCTTTGCTGAAGTTTTGTTTGGGGAAGGAGCGAGCTCTGTTGGTCCTCATGAAGGGAGAGACCACAAGGAAACCCGCATATGAATCTCTAGCCTCTGTGACATTTCCCT